ACCTCGGAAAACTTTCTCCGCGCCCGCACACAACTCCAAGGCCTCGGATGACTTAGGTGTCACCAAGGACGAAAAAGAGAAGTGGCAAAAGGAAGGAAAGTGTTTCCGTTGTGGTAGGGATAACCACTTCGCGAAAGATTGCGTGGCGACGAGTAAGGTCAGGTTAACCGACCTGAAGAGGAAACGGTATCCTTCCGGAGGAAAGGACCACGGAAGGGAGGGTGAAAAGAAGCGGAAATTGGGGCCCCAGAATGAGGCTTTTAGGGCAAGGATTACAACTTTGGAGGATCAAAATTGATTGGGTATTTCTATTTTTCGGTGTTTTATACTGCGTTACGGTTTCTTTCCTTTGGTTATTTGGAACAAGGTTTTTATGTATTACGGTTATTCTTATCAGTTGGCTACGGGATTTTTCTATATTTGTTTTGCTATACGCGCGGAAATTCAATTCTCTTTACACACACTCTGAGGATGGGGTTACACCCCGAAACGCCTGGTGCGTAAGTGTCGTACCATGATCTTCATCAAACACTCGAACTCTCTATATAAACCCCCTCACCCCGCGCTCAACGAAGAAAAAACCATCGAAAAACCCACATCCAAAACCAATACAAACTTTATCAAAACCCAACATACAAATATGTCTTCCAACACACAAGAAACCCGCCTCGAGATCGAGATCTCTTGGGACCACCCCGCAACTAGTACCAAACATGTCGCAACAGTCAACGCACTCCTAGACAGTGGCACCGAGGACTGGATAATATCCTGGGACTGCATCCACCGTGTAAGGATACCCACTCAACCTCGACCAAAGCCTCTCATCATCAGACAGGCCGATGGTACCCCTATGCCCAATTCCGGCACTCACATCACTCAACCCCTTACCCTCCGCATCGGCAACCATCTAGACAGGGCTATCACCTGTGAGGTTGGCTCGTTTGCAGGAGAGGACCTCGTCATACCACATCGATGGCTCAAAGAGCATCAACCAACCATCCATTGGGGACGCAACAGTGTCAGCTTCTATAGCAACAACTGTATACTCCATGGATGCTTCGTATCAGTCGAAGACATATACGATCAAGACCCAGAAGAGCTGGTCATTAGGCTGTTGAGGGCGTCACCCAAGAAGCAGATGACGATCGAGCAACACCCCTTTTGGGCAAGAGCATCGGTAAACGAGGCTCTCGTTAGTGCTATACCGGTGGAGTTTCAGGAATATGCCGACGTGTTCTCCAAGGAAGGAGCCGCTCGACTACCTGATCACTCTGAATGGGATCATACCATTCCTCTTATAGAAGGAAAGCAGCCTCCGTGGGGACCGATCTATTCGCTCTCCCCACCTGAAGATAAAGCACTCCGGGAGTACTTGGACGAAAATCTGCCCTCCGGCAAAGTAGTCCCCTCCACTAGCCCAGCAGCGGCACCCGTCCTGTTCGTTCCGAAAGCTAATGGCAAGCTTCGGTTATGTGTCGACTTTCGTGGCTTGAATGGGATCACAATCAAGAACCGTTATCCACTGCCACTCATGAAAGAGCTGGCCGACGCAACGAAAGGAGCACTCTACTTCACGAAAATAGACCTGAAAAATGGCTATAATCTGATTAGGATTGCTAAGGGCGAAGAATGGAAAACCGCTTTCCGAACGAAATACGGCCTCTTCGAATATAGGGTAATGTCTTTCGGCTTGACCAATGCTCCTGCGTCGTTTCAGGTCATGGTCAATACCATATTCAAGGATCTTCTAGATCAAGGCGTAGTAGTCTACCTGGATGACATCTTAATGTATTCAAAGACTAGAGAAGAGCATACGACTCTTGTACGGGAAGTTTTGGAGCGACTGCGTCGACACCACCTATACGGAAACCTCGAGAAAACGGAGTGGTATCAACAGGAAGTAGAATTCCTGGGATTCATACTATCAGGAAAAGGGAATCGGGTATCACCGAAGAAAGTCCAAGCGATCGAGGGTTGGTTAGCCCCAACCAAGGTCAAGGAACTTCAGTGCTTCCTCGGTTTCGCCAATTTCCTAAGACGGTTTATCCACCGATATTCTGAGGTTTGCAGACCCATGACCGATCTCCTGAAGAAAGGTTCCGTATGGAAATGGGGCAGGGGACAGCAAGACGCGTTCGACGAGCTCAAGAGGAGATTTACGTCTGCTCCAATACTCCGACACTATGACGAACACCGCGAAGCAATCGTGGAAACTGATGCGAGTGACTGGGCCGAGGCCGCAGTACTCTCTCAGGTGTTCGAGGACGGTATTCTACATCCGGTAGCTTACCACTCTCGCAAGTTCAACGAGGCAGAGGTCAACTATGAGATCTATGACAAGGAGATGCTCGCAATAGTTTCTGCCCTTCTGACTTGGAGACATTGGCTGGAAGGGACGGACATCCCTATCCAGATACATTCGGATCACCAAAACCTGCAGTATTTCACAACGACCAAGAAGTTGTCGAGAAGACAAGCCAGATGGGCCGAGAAGATAGCACCTTTTCGCTTCAAGATCCATTACCGACCAGGCGAAAAGAACGGCAAGCCAGATGCACTCACAAGGCGTCCGGAGTTCGCGATGGAAGGGGGAGTGATGCGTGAGCAGCCCGTAAAACAGCTACTCAACGCAGAACAGTTTGTCCGAAAATCACGGACCAGCGTAGAAACTGGGTCTGAGGTGATTGGCAACCCCGAAGAGGAATGGAATCAGTTGGATCAGTGGTACGACATACCAAGCGTAGAGCTGCCTCAGCCACTACAGGGTTGGTATGAACAGGAAAGACGATGGGTTCGGAGGATGGTTCCGGATGAACACCTCCCTGACTCAAACCTTGAGATCTTCGGACCACCGGAGGCTGCTATCGTAAAAGTAGAGCCTACCGCTGAATGGAGTCCCGATTCGAATGACCCCACCCACGATGGTCGATGGGTAGTACCGGGCTACGCGGTCAAGCAGGTCATTGAGGAACATCATGATCGACCCGTAGCGGGGCATCTAGGAAGGGATAAAACCCTCGAGTTGATCGATAGGAACTACTGGTGGCCAGGAATGTCCACGGATGTAGCCAACTTCGTCAAGACGTGCGACGTGTGCCAGAGAGCCAAGCAACGTCGGAGACACTTGTCACTCCCTCAACCCCTAGAGTTAGCCACCACACCTTGGACTGACATCTCAATGGATTTCGTAGTAGAAATGCCAAAGGAGAAGTCAGGATTTCGTAACGTATTGGTAGTCGTGGACCGTTTTACGAAAATGGCTCACTTCATTCCAATGACGGGAATCAAGGCGGAACAGACCGCTAACGCATTTGTCAAAGACATCTGGCGTTTCCACGGACTTCCTAGGAGCATCGTCTCTGATAGAGGAACACAGTTCGTGTCAGCATTCTGGACGGCAATCACGGAAAGATTGGGGATTCGTAGGAGACTCTCTACTTCCTTCCACCCACAGACCGATGGCCAGACAGAACGAACCAACCAGCACATGGAAGGTTACATTCGGGCATATACGGCAGGAACAGGCAAGAAATGGAAGGACCTGTTACCTATCTGCGAATACGCCTACAACAACGCGAAGCATACGTCAACCGGGCAATCACCATTCTACTGCAATTATGGCTTCCATCCCCGAACGGACTGGCCTACGGATGCAGAGATCGAACGGTTAGATGCCAGCGGAAACAACTACTTGGACGAGATCATCACGGCTCACGAGTTAGCGAGAGATACGCTACAGAAGACCTTTGACAGGATGGCATCAAAGCCAGGACCAGCAGTACAGCGGTTCACTATCGGTCAGAAGGTCTTACTGGATACTCGGAACCTAGGGGGATACTCCAAGTGGTCAGACAAGTTCACAGGACCGTTTACAGTCTCAGCAGTAGTGGGCAATCGGGCTTACCGTCTCGAACTTCCGGTAGAATGGAAGATTCACGACGTCTTTCACGAGATGCTGCTGCGACCCTATCGCGAGGACCCAGATCCCGCCAGACAACCGAATACACGAAAGCGACTGGCAACACCCGAGCCACAGGAGGCATTGGCAGATGAGAATTTCCAGCCAATCTCGAACATACGACCCCATACGCGAAGCCAAGGCCCAGCGATTGATAATGACCGGGCTCATAAGCGACAACGGAACAGGCGGGACTAAGCTCGATACCTTTCCCTACTCTATGACTTTTCCCACAGGGTTTTTAGCATAGAAGGGTTTTAACGGTCGAGGGCGACGTCTAGGAAGGGGGAGTAGTGTTACGGGAACTACGGAGCACTGTTCTTGGAGGCTTAGGACAATGAGGAATACGAGTGACGGGTTGTGATGCAAGGACGGTCGGGTAACGAAAGGACAAGCATAGAAAGGTATCGGGTAGTGTGGGAGCACGCGGTGTTACCACACTAGTGTTATACTATTATGGCGGCACGCTTACTATTGGGTGCCTCACCCGGAATAGAATAGGAAGCGGGGCTTACGGCTGTAGGCTGTTCTACTTAGGGAAGTAGGTCTAGGATAATAGTATGGTACAGCCCGATGACTGGCAATTGCAAGGTTCATGGTTACGTGTCGGAATTAGAATGGAGGACGGAACTATGCGGGGGCGCTTTTCTATCTGGGTTATCTTCGGGAGCATTATCTTATTCTATTATCGTTGTGTCAGTTAGTATTAGAAAGCGGGCCTTGGCATAGGTTCCAACATGTATAAATAGGGCTTGATTCTCCGAAGACTTGAGGGTATCATCAACCATCAAGTCAAGGGAATCCGGTTTACAATATCATCAGTTTAAACGCTACAGAATTATCGCTTAGCACTAGCCATTTTCCTTAACAGAACTATATTGGACGCTACGTACGGAACTGCCACACCTGTCGGCGAAGTAAACCAAACAACCACGGAAAACTCGGTGTACTCCGGCCCCTACCAATACCTGAACAACCCTGGCAGGAAGTATCGATGGATTTCGTTACTGGACTACCGGAGAGTGAGCGTTATGATGCAATCATGGTGATCGTGGACCGACTAACAAAGATTCGACACCTTCTACCCTGCAATACAACCGTTAACGCCGAAGATGTCGCTCAACTATACCTGCGAAACGTCTGGAAACTCCATGGTCTCCCCACACATATCACCTCGGACCGTGGCACACAGTTCACTGCCAAATTCTGGAAAGAGTTTTGTAAACATCTCAGTATCGAAGCAAGAATGTCCACCGCCTTCCACCCGGAAACCGACGGCCAAACCGAAAGGCTCAACGCTGTAATGGAGCAATATCTACGAGGATACGTGTCCTATCAACAGGATGACTGGGTCAAATGGCTCGCTATGGCCGAATTCTCTGCTAACAACCAGGTCTCCGCCTCCACAAAAGCAACACCCTTCTTCGCAAACTTCGGCTTCCACCCCCGGTTCACAATGACGCTCAAACCTTCCGACAAGACGCCACCCAGCCTTGATGCCAAAGACTTCGCCGGAAAGATGATGGAGCTCCATGAATACCTACGCACCAACATCTGAACGGCACAAGACCAGCAAGAGCAGGCCACCAACGCAAAGCGAACCCCCGCGCCCCAATACAATGTCGGTGACATGGTCTTTGTATCAGCCAAAAACATCCGTACCACCCGCAACTCGAGGAAGCTCGACTGGAAGAAGCTTGGACCGTTCCCCATCAAGGCAGTTATCTCCCCATATGCCTATCGAGTCGACCTACCCCGGAGCATGAAGATGCACCCTGTCTTCCATGTGTCGCTATTGGACCCCGCCGCGCAGGACCCCGTACCAGGTCAAGTACAACCGCCCCCTCCACCTATCATCGTCGAACAAGAGTAGGAATACGAGGTCGACGGGATTCTGGACTCGCGGACAACAAGGAACAATGGCCTGCAATACTTCGTCAAGTGGACAGGATACACCGACCCTACCTGGGAACCCGCCGCATACCATAACGATACCGCCGCAGTCGACATCTTCCATGCACAATACCCTGGGAAACCGGGGCCACTCGAGATGAAGGATAGGACTCAAGCTCGCAGGAGCTCGTGCTTGAAGGGGGGGCTACTTTCATGGATCGGTCGACAGAGTCGTTAGGTTACGATGAGTTGTATTAGTCAGGAGGTTTCCATCGCGTTCTATGGATTTCTGTTCGGTTGCGCGGTGTGAGTCACTTTGGATTAGTCATCGTAGGATTTCCTTGGGTATATTAGAGGGCTCTCCCTCGCCTCGTTCCTGTTTTCCTTTCTCTTCTTCTTTCTTTACGCAACGTCTTCTGTATCAATCTACTATACACTTGTTCGTACCTAGGCATACCATACCAGGTCGAACCACTTCTATATATATCTACGCTGGTTACCAACATACGCGCTGTTACTTCTCTTCTCCACGAAGACCTCTGCACCTTGCTTGACCTCGCTTGACTAATTCGACAGCTTCTACTGTCGCATATCGTACCCTGCGGAATACTCACTATCGCCGCCCCTTGAGAGTATGCCCCTGTTTCTATTTTGTATAATTAATTTGTTAGCACATGTTTGAAATCTTGAACGACTTGCCTCGCTGTGAGATTTGTAAAGAGCCAACCATTTCCAATGCACTGTTGTCTTCTCCTTTCTCCTCGTCCGATGCACTCTCTTCCTCAGAACCGTTTTCCTCCCCTGGTTCTGCGTAAAACTTTGACTGTATGGAAGAGTAATCGTGTTGTATTAGTGTGTATATTTAATTATTCGTATCAGTAACCCGATAATTGTGTGTGGAAGAGTATCAGACCTTTTTGAACACTTTCACTTCGATATCGATGTCACCATGCTCCTCGATCAGCTTTGTTAGTTCAACCGGGTATGATAAAGGTTTCCATTCACGCTGTTTTTTGGTTCCAGTGGTTGGACGGTATGCACGCATCTCGTCTTCCTCCACTATAATTATGTTGTCTAGCTCATTCTCGAATTCATCGTAGTCGATATCTTTAGCGAATGGATGCTTTTGCCTCCCAATCTTTATGTGGAATTGATCTATATCGCCCAAATCGTCGCCCCCTGCGTTCGGTTCGTTATTTTGGGGGGGCGATGAGAAAGGGGGTGGTGATGTGTTGGGAAACACCGATACATTTCGGAAGAATTGCAATCGATCGTCAACGGGGCTTGGGATTTCTGCATACTCTTCGGGTTCTTCGACAGGGCTAGTTAGTAACATTGGAGGCGGGTGTTTTCGTGAAGACTTGATTTGAATTTTTTGAGCGACTGCAGGTTGGTTGTGTTTAGGTTCTTTGGATGTCGCATTGCCGGCAACGTCCGGTATAGTCTTTCTCGGGATAGTACGAACAGGCCTGTCCATATTTTGTTCCTCGTCGTCCGAAAGAACTCTAACGTTAGATTTTGGCGCGTTCTTCTGTACCTTGGCCTTCTTACGTTGGTCAGCAGCTTTTGAGGAAGTTTTGGAAGGTTTAGATCTTTTTTCTCCATCGTCGTCTTTATGCCGGCGGTTATACGACCTCACCCTATCTCAGCAAAGCGTTCGAATAACGTCCCTTGTAACCGCCCTGTTCCATTCCCATGCCGGAGGTGCAAGTTGCGTAATTGCCTTGATCGCGGGGTACATCTTCATTTCATAGTCGTAAGACTTGAACTTTTGCCGTAGATGCATGCCCCCTCTTGATGCACTCGTCCAAAACCCAAGCTCTGCGTTCCCTCTTTGCTCTTTCCGTTTGTAATTTGCTATCACTTAGAACGCCCATCCGGCAGTTGAGGTCGTTTCTGAAGTTAGGGGAGTTGACATCGGTTACGTACTCAGGCAAATCGTCATCGTCGTTGTCAAGAGCTGCCTGCTGTGATGTATTGATAGAAGTTGGAGGAGGACGTACGTCGATGGGAGCAATCGCTCTCCCGGGAGCGTTCGGAGGAAGAATTGCAATAGATTTAGAGGTTTATAGTTTGTTGTTCTCTGGGAAGTTGTTGACTTTCGGATGCGTGGATTGGAGGGGGGCTGAGAATTTTCCATTTCCTCCCTGCCATACTCGTCTTCCTCGTCTTCCTCGTCCTCTCGATGGCTTCGTTCGGATGTTCTAGATGTAGCAATCGAAAGATTTCGATTGACTCTCAATGAGTCATCGCGCTGCGCTCGTTTGCTGAGTCGCGACGTGTCTGATTCTGAGAAGGACGCCCGCTTACGGCCATTCGTCTGCGAAGTTTCCTGTGAAGTTGATGAGCTTGATGCCGAAAGTTCTACGCGATCTATCGAGGCAGGTTAGGAGAGGGTCGTGGAGGGATATATGAGTCTAGCCAGCCGGCCGTCCAACAATCTGGCGACATTACCGTTCTCTTTCGGAATCCCATTGCTCTTCGGAATCTGGGTTGGTTGTGAGTCTTTGTGCTGGGCCTCCAGCATTCGCATCTCTTCCCGAATCTTGGCATCGTATTTTTGCCCTCAAGGGCAGCGCGTTTTTCCTCCAATGTAGCCATAGCAATGATGATTTAATGAGAGTTAAGGCAAATGATGATGCAAATGGGAGAGATTGTGAGATAGCTAATTGATGGATAATGATACCTGCGTGTGATTGCAATATGAGGTTGAGGTTGAGGTAGAGATTGAGGTTGAGGTAGAGGTTGAGGTTGAGGTTGAGGTTGAGGTTGAGTGCTCGAAGTTTGGGGTCAACCTGGACATACACTAAGCCGGATTCAGCCCATGTAATACTTGGCACTAACGTACAGATGAAACAAATGGCGGCGAATTCACGATTCGGTACTTTATGTTATACTTCAAGGGATAAAGACTTGTATTCTAATGTTTCTCTACAGTTAGATCAAGATCTCCCAAGAAGTCTTTCTTTTTTTACATATATGTATATACGAGGGTATCGGCATGTAGGTACAACCGGAACTTGTAGGTACATGTAATGTATACCAAATTGTTTCGCCAAGAACGCCAAGAATGTTTCGCGCTCGAAGCTATAAGGTCTTAAATTTTCAAACACTTTGATATGAAAAACGCAAAAAATGGCCAAAAAACGACGTTTTTCGAAAAAATGAGAAAACCGAAATTACTATGCGCTAGTAGTGGGTTTTGTCCCGAAAAAAAACGTTTCTTCGCGATGCGCATAGCTACGGATAATTTTTTCGTTTTTTTAGAAAAACGAAAAAATTTATAAAAACGCGCGATATATATAGCTGTAGGATTTGGTTCGGATGAACTTGCAATTTGGTAATTGGACTGTTCCTAAAACGTTTGATATATAACATTGCGCTAATTAGCTCAATACATGGCCGGATGTATGTACATGTACATGTATGTATACGTACATACATGTATATATACCGGTACTGTATATAGGATCCGGTTACATACCTCCAGCTCTCTTCGTACAATCGTCCAAATACACCAAGAATTCGACCACTCCAAAATG